ATGAAAATTCGTTTCTTCTGCAGGTCCCCAAAATGTCTTGGTCCAGATGATGTCGATCGATAGACTATCCACTTATTGAAATAGATTGGATAACATTTGTGAAAAAGAAATCACCAAATAATTATTAACTTTAAAAAATCATCAAATTAGCTAAATAGCTAATGAAAAATACTATATAGGCATAGACTTTTAAACACTATTTTTTTATTTTTTATTTATTTATTAATTTTTTTTTTCTTCCGGCAATTTAAAAAGGGCAGCACGGACCGAAATACATGTTGTTGTGGGATAAATTGAAAATATTATCATCTAAATTTTTTGACATATTTACAAAAAATCTAGTTTTATTATTCAATATGAAATACCACTCGAAGGATCAAAAAAAAAAAGAAAAAGAAAAAGAAAAGAAAAGAAAAGAAAAGGACTCCTGAATTCCTGAATTTCATATTTATTTCTAAAAAACCATTCAATATAAGCAGGGTAGGACCTCGAAATTCGAATGCTATGGCCAAAGTTATTAATTTTTTACCTTAAAAAATAATAAAACTATAAGGATTGGGTAGCCTTGTTAAAATCTAGTGTGAGAAAAAGTCAATGAGACTGTTTATATTTATGTGAGAATTTTATAATATTTTGGTTAGAAATATATTTGGAGAAAAGGATTTCAAAAATATGTAATGTTAGTTTGTATTTTAAAGAAAGAATATTAAGTGAATAATGTTTATTATACAATGTTATATCTAGTGTAGTGATGTGATCTCACTTCATTGGATAACTCGAGTGGGAGGGCACGTAATGATATTGCTAGCTTTGAGCGCTAACATTGTACTAGCGTTGAATGCAAGGGGATCCAATTCCCGCGAGATGAAGGAGAAAGCAACCAATGCGAACGGTGTGATGCGAGCAGTGGGAGGCAAAAATTAGGGTGCAATTGCGTTAGGATGGGAAAACAATGGTGCAAGTTGGAGATGCACGTGGTGGGAGAACCTATACCAACAAAGAAGAGTTGGAGTGAGGGGTGTCCCGGCGCTGAAGCTCAAGTAAGAGATCTTAGAATAATTTGAAAGATGGAAAATTCTTAGTAAATAACAAATCGAGTAATATGTATTCTCAAGGAGTCGTTCGAGTGTATCTATATAGATAGTATGTCGACAAATCGATCCCTACTTCGTTCACTTTTGTTTAGGATCGGACCTGTTTTTTCGGCCATATTCACCTTTTTTTAGCTTCTGATCTAATGAAGCAAGAAATAAAATACATCTGATTGCCATTCTCTGGATGTTTCAAACAAGAGAAAACATTATAAACGAATGGTCTGTTTATAGTGACAAAATGGATGTCACTCATATGTTGCCATGTGGATAAAATTTGGGGGTCATTACAAATAAACCCATCAATGAGTACTTATTCATAAAGAGATGCAGACTTTTGTAAAGGACTAAAATAACTCCTCATACTTTAATATGGTCAAATTTCATCCTTAATTTTATTTAACCTCAATTTGACCATAAATTTCATAAATTATTTAATTTTGACCGAAATTTTTTTTTTTCCGCTGGTTTTCGGCGTTGACTTTTTTCGATTTTTTTTTTCTTTTCTTACTTTCTGTAACTTTTTCTTTTCGTTTAAACAGCAATATTGCTGTGATTGACAATAATATTAACTATATTACCGTTAAACATAGTAAAATTAACTAAAGTACAGTTTAACACAATAATATTGGTATATTAATCTCTAGCACAGTAATTTTAACACAACAAAACTCATTATTATTGTGTGATAGAGTAATATTACTATGTTGACCGTTCAACAAATGTAAACATAATAAAAAGCCAAAAAAAATAATCTTACTGTGAGTGACAGTAATATTACTATAAAAACAGTAATATTACCGTCAACCACAGTAATATTACAATAATAGACAGTAATATTATTACGTTACTCCGTGAATAACTCAAACAAACAAAAATTCCAAACAAAATTATAATATTGATGTGGTTGGCAGCAATATTACTATAACAACAGTAATATTACCGTCAACCCCAGTAATATTATTGTGTTTACAGTAACTAGTAATTCACCCGTGCGATGCACGAGATCAATTTAAAAAAAAAAAATCGGATAAAATAAAACAATCGAAAACTTTGAACAGTTGACATACATGTAAATAATACCAAAAAAAAATGTTTTAATGAATCAAAATATACATTTGTTTGTGATTTACCTTCATATTCGCTGAAAAACTTTTGTGCACACAACATTGCTCGTAATTTTAGTTATATCGCCCGATTTTGAGTTGATAAATATCTTTATCTCAAATCGACTTTTAACTCTGAACATTGCGGCGTACAATTGCCTATGTCACCCTAATATTAACACTAATATTACACTAACAACAACTACTACTTCGAATACTAAAACCAAAAGTGATAATACTAATACCAATACTAATATTAATACTAAAACCAACACTAATAATACTAATATTAATATTAATCCTAATATTAATACGATGATTTATACTAATAGTCTAATACTATTATTAGTATCAACACTAATATTAATAATAGTACGCAAATTCTAATACGAATATTTAATGTTTAAACTAATACGCCAATACTAATACGAACAATAATACTAATATTAATACTAATACTACGACTAATACTAATACTAATACTAATACTAATACTAATACTAATACTAATACTAATACTAATACTAATACTAATACTAATACTAATACTAATACTAAAACTAATACTAATATTAATGCTAATATTAATGCTAATATGCCAAGACTAATATGAATTCAAATACGAATAATAATACTAATAATGATAACAATAATGATAATAATACTAATATTGATATTGATACTGATACTTATATTAATATTGATACTAATATTAATACACATATTGATACTGATACTGATACTGATATTAATATTCGTAATAATACTATTATTAAAACTAATACCAATATTAATATTCATACCAATAGTCATACCAATACTCATACCAATACTCATACATATATTACAGATATTGATAATGATATTGATACTCGGGATAATTAGCTATACCCCCCTTATTTCAAACTTATATAGTTAGGAGTCCAATCTGTTAGATTAGTATAGCTATAGGCCCTTTGACCAAAAAAATTAATTAAATTAATTAAAATTATAAGCCTACGGACATAAATACCCTTCACAATAAATTATTTAATTAAGGAAATATTTAATTCAGTAAATTACGTTGAATAAATCCCAAATATCACGTTGTAAGATTTGGAAGGGAGTTATGAGACGTGGGTTGAAAAAACAAAATATCAGGAGTTTATCAGACGTGGTAGAATTAAATAAATCATTCGTCGTTATAAGATCTTAGAATTCTATGAGTTTAGTTTCGTGAAATCTAATGCAATTAGGTATATTTTTATTTTTTTCGTATTGCTATCAACATGAAGAGGAGCTACGTCAACAGGTTTGTTTTGTTACTGGGAGGGAGTTTATGAAACGTGGTTGATTCATCTTTGACAACACTCTTATTTTATTTCCCAAAATCTCTGGTTTAGATTTCGAGGTTGAAATTAGAATTCAGACTTTTGATTCAATTTGGCAGGAATTAAATTAAATTTTGTGTTTTTTAGGGTTGATGGTGCAAGATTGAAGGAGAAGATGACTATACAGAAAGTTATTGAGCCCGATTCACATTTGTTCTCTTTATTTGCACATCAGGAGAAGATTTCATTTAGTATTTTTTTTCGTGCAAACCAAAACGAGTACAAAATGGCTCGATCGTTCTCCGCCGCTAAATTCATTCCGTATTTAATCGCCAGAGCAGTTCCGTATCTAGAGGCTCAAGGACATCGACTAAATCTGATAATCTTGAGACGAAAATTGTGTTTGTTGTTTGCTATTTTTTTAACACTTTGTTGTTATATATTTATTTTTTTGTTGTTAGTATGGTACTATTTTTCATAAAGGATTGAAACATGGCCTCTTCATTCAAAAGACAGATGGATCTAAAGTTTGGGTTTCTTTCACATATGAGCGACTACCTAATTTTTGCTTCATGTGTGGCGTAATCGGGCATGGAGAAAAACGGTGTCCACTACGGTATGAAGAAGATTTCGATGACCCAGGAGAGCAGCTCCCTTATGGCAGTTGGCTACGGGCCTCAGCGACCAAAGACGACACCAGTGACAAGGTCCGTGGATTGTCGTGGATTGTTGGTGGTGATTTCAATGAAATGCTAAGTAATTCTAAGAAGGAGGGAGGCGTTCCAAAACTGCCCTCGCACATAGGGGGTTTTTGAAATGTTCTTGGTGAGTGTGGAATAACAGACCTTGGTTTCATCGGACACCCCTTCACGTGGACAAACAAAAGAGAACACCCCTATACCATTAAGAGCAGACTTGATTGGGTTTGTGCAAATGGAGCATGGACTTCCATATTTCCCCATGCTCAGGTCAACCATCTAGAAACGATCGGGTCTGACCACCTACCCATTTTTCTCAACTTCGAGGAAGAGCGCCGCCACACAAAGCGCAGGTCGAAAAGACCATTCACTTTGAAGCCCTGTGGATTCACCGAGAGGATTGCGAGGAAATTGTTCGACGAGCGTGGGATACCCCAGAGGGAGCTGACCAAATGGAAGAATTACTTCAAAAAAGCACAAAATGAAGAACGGCATTGATGTTTTGGAACAAGCACACGGTCCGCCGGCCACAAGCTCGGATTGATGAGCTCAAAAAAAGACTTAATGAACTCAACTTGGGAGTCCAGACTGCTGCAACTCTACAAAATACCAGTTTAAGAGAGACTATTGCTTGCCAGCACAAATAGATAGTAGAAAAAAAGGGTTTGTTATACTCTATATATGGTTTCCAAAATGTTAATTATCAATTAGGGAGGTGCTTATACGTATTGCATGTCGATCGAATAAGTCGAAGATACATAATACAATTCTAAAAGCCATTAAAATGACAAAGCAAAGCTTAAAACTCTTTCCATTGAATCAACAAACCTCCCATAAAATAAGGATTTCAAGATTTCAAGATTTCGAGTTTGATCAAGTTACTAAAACTTACAATCCCGAGGAAAGATGGAATACATACCTCCGTACAATATGACAAACCTAACTTTAGGCACTCAACATTGCAAAGCCTAGCAACAAATGTATTTTTTTTTATTTTTTTTGCCATTAAGCTCAGATGTCGTCCAATCAATAAATTGTCCAATCAATAAATTGAGCTACGTGATCAACGAATATCAAGTATATTCGACGTTAGGCCACTAAAAAATTAAACCTCGATTGAATTTTAAATATACGAAATAGAAAAGATAAAATTTATACTTAATAGTATAACAATGACTACATAAGATTTCAAGATTATCAGCTGTTTCAAGAAACTTTGAGAGAAAACGACAACAAACAATCAATTCGAGATTGATTAATTTACATCATTGAAGAAATGGAAAACGAGCTCATGAAAGATGAAATGCGTACCTGTGTGCAATTTGATAAATCTAGTTTTGGGAACTTGATGTTGCAAAGTCTACCAATAAATTCCAGCACCGATCGAGAATAAATAAAAATGTCTTGTTCACCGTATCTTAAAATATCGATATCCAAGTGTTAGGGTATTTACTCAAGATGGATATATCGAGCATTTTGACTGTGGGTGAAGTTACCTTATTTTACAAACAACAAAATTATAGTAACATTATTGCATAGTGTTAATATCAAAAGAACTCAAATAAATCGAATAAGGTAATAAAGAAATTATTGAAATGCTTTATAAAAAGAAGTCACACCCAGAATTCAAGAAAAAAGAATATTCAAAATCAAAGATTTTTTGAAATCTCTCTTATGTTTGCTTCCTACGAAACCAGTGATGAAAATAATGTGTGAAATCTCTTTCCTTAATTTTGTTTCATAGTTAAAAGAAAATAGTAGAATGAAGATGACAATAGATTCTTGGACAACTAAGTAGCACAGCAGCTATCTGAACTCAATTTCATGTCAATTTCCATAACATAAGTTTATAGGTAACGATTTATAGGTGACATGCATAAAAATTAATACTTCAACGAAGAAATGAAGCCTTGTGCCTAAAGTGGACGCATTTGAAATAACAACGTAACTAGTAGTACGGGAGCTCTTCGTGACAAACATACTCACCTTTTTTTCCGCAATTACAAAAATAAATATTTGTTTCATCAAATTGCAGTTACAAAAAACTGAAGTAAAGATGACGAGTTTTGTAGGTCATAACATAACAGAGATAAGTGCATAAAGCAATTATGAGGCAAAAGTGGTTGGTAGATATAGGCGTCAACGTACTTTACAGAACACAAGCGGTGAGGCAGCACCAAAGGCAACTTTACATGCTCTGGATCCGCGTTGAAAAAGTGAGATCTTCTTTAGCATATTATTTTCTTCGTTGGAACTAAGGGATCGGGGATATGATATTTCCATCCTCTCCAAGACTTGAGCATTCCTCAATAGATATTTTATAATTTTAAACTCGTGCTTTTCACCTCTGATGTTCGGAAGCTTTACGATTCTAAGACGTGATAAAAGACATGCGGGCACTTGTTGTGGTGGTTCCTTCCAGCTTTTTATTTCTTCACGAGGCTGATATTAACAACAAAAGCAAAAAAATAAAAAATAAATAAAAGACATTAAAGAAGACATGAAAGAGGAAAACAAGCTAGGAACTTGTATATTGCGTCAACAAACCTCTTCAGTGAAACAAAGAATCTCAAGATTATCGGCATTTTCGAGGAACTTTGAGAGAAGACGACAATCACATCTCAGTTCGAGTTCGGTTAAGTTACGAAAACTTGTAGTCCAAGCAGAGAGTACTGAATTAATAATCTTCAGAAGAAATGCACACGCATAATAATATTAGTTGCCATCACTAAAGAAATGTGGACAATGAGCTGATGAATGATCGAAAGCGCACCTCTGGACAATATGAGAAATCTAAATTTAGGCGCTCAACATTGCAAAGAGTGTCAAAAAAGTCGAGCAGGGATCGAGAATGAAGATGATGATGATAGTCTGGTTGGCTGTCAAAATTGATATATGCTTGAGTTAAGGAGGTTAGCACCCCACATTTGATATGCTCCGTGAAATAATCACTCATCTGGAGATATTCAACCGATGGGGTGTTTATGTCCAGCCTGTCAGCTCTGCCACCACAGCCGACGGATATAAAATCGAGCACCAGACTTTTTACTGTAGTTGAAGATACATTACAATAAACCATATCCGGGTATAAACAGATTAACAAATCCTCAAGAACAGGGCAACCGGAAAGCAGGTTGGGAAGCGCGTCGTCGGCTTCATATTGAACGTACAATAGATGAAGCTTCTTGAGTCGAGGGAAACACACGGCAACTCTCACGGGGATGACACCGCAGGATTCCAGCTTCAAATGAACTAGGGTTTTGCAAGTGAAGAGGCATCCAGGTAAACCAAGTAAAACATCTTCATCTCGCCAAGAACTGTAACAAAGATGGAGTATTTGCACATTGCGCTCAACGGCAAAGGTAATCCAAATTTGATATTTCTTGCATTGAGCTCCATTTTCTCTATTGATGTAACGGTAACGGTCGTCGTCATCAGAGAGGCAAAAAGTATTAACTTTTTGCATTTTACGGAGCAATAAAACCCTATTAATGGATTTTTGACTGTCGTTGCGGAAAATTAAATTGGGGACGTAAGCCCAGAGAAACCTCCATCTTTGACCTAGAATGCTGGTTCTTACCGAGAATTTGGTCGGGAGAAAAGAGAGGATGTGAGTCAGGACCGAGTCCGGTAAATCGCTAAGCCTGTCAATCGGGACAGTGTTTTGCTTCTGGCGGCTTCTCCTATCTCGTTCCGTTATCGCCATCACAGAAATGGAAAACGAAGAAGTAGAAGAAGAAATCGACACGGAAGTTAATCAGTTCAAAGGGTGAATCAATTTTTGAAAGAATCATTTGAGGTCTGAAACTGAAGCGGCTTTCTTGGATATTTCCCCCAATTTTGAAACCGAAGAGTAATAGAGCCTTTTTCCTCTTCCCACCCTAAAAATGGTCCATTACACGGGTGTAAATAAAAAACTCTTTTACAAAAAAGTTCACATATTGTCCATGGATGGATGTGTGAAAGATTAAAATACCTCTCACATTTTAATATGCTATAATTTTATATTGTAATTTAATTTAACATTTAATTTGACCCCAAATTTCATATATTATTTAATTTTGTATATAATTTCGCCGGTCGTCGTCGTTGACCGGCGGTCAACAACGTTGACATTTTTTTTTCTTTTATCCTGATTTTTCTGCCCGTTTCCGTTGACTTTTTCAAAAGAAAAAATTGAATTATTTTTTACGTTAACATCGTTTTGCCCCATTTAAACATCTATATTGTTGTAGTTGACAGTCATATTAATTATATTATTGTTCAACACAGTAATATTAACTATACTACAGTAATATTGCTATACATACGGCCATGGGCCGGTTTTGGGCCCGGAACCGGCCCGTTGACAAACTGGCCCGAACCGTTGACCGGTGAACCGGCCCGTCGTCCCTGGGATGGGCCCGATTCTATGAATTGGTGAACCGTGAACCGTGAACCGCCGGGCTGGCCCGGCGGTTCACCCGGATTAAAAAAAAAAAAAAAAAAAAAAAAAAAAAAAAATCAAAATAAAGCAAATAACGGCCGGTGAACCGGCCGTTATTTGCTATTTTTTTAATTCCCCCCCCCCCCCACACATTTTTTCTTATAAATATCCTCACACCCCATTTTTTCCTATAAAATTAAGTTAAAGTCCTTTTATTTATTTCCTTTTGTTTTTTTTTCCTATTTAAAAGTAATTATTTTAATTTATTTATCCATTAAGTATTTTTTTTTTCTAAAAATATATATATAAATATAAATTTTCGGAGTGAACCGGCGGAACTGGAGTGAACCGCCGAACCGTGCGTAGTACGGGTCGGTTCCGATTCCGGAAAAAGTGAACCGCGAACCGGAGTCAACCGGCCCGGAACCGGGCCATGGCCGTGTTTATATTGCTATATTACTCTTTATCACAATAATATTAACACAACAAAAATTGCTATTATTGTGTAATATAATAATACTAGTATTTCACTCGTGCGATGCACGAGGATAATTTAAAAAATAAAAAAAATATATATATATTTTAGGTAAAATAACTTACTAAAAATTTCAACATTTATATATATATATATATATATATATATATATATATATATATATATATATATATATATATATATATATATTGAGGGTTTTTGTGCATAAGTCTCCAACCAAGCATCTTTATTATTCTAGGTTTAGAGCTATATCTCTTTCACCAATAAGCTCATCTTTTTAATATTTAGGGTAAAATTCAAAATACCTACCTAAACTATACCCAACCCAACGTATAAACTACCCTCTAAACTTCAAAATGTACCGAACCAGCCCCTATTGATTATCGGTCAACATTAAAAAACACAGAATTGTTAACGCTGTTAATCTACACTCTGCAATTACTTTTATGTCCTCCATTAATTGACCCTAGTGCTGAACACTTTCTCTCTCCAACACTTGGAAAAAAACCGTAAAAAAATTCCCTCTTCACTCACCTCTCTCATTTCACTTTGCCGCTTTCTCATCTCACCCTTCCGTTGATTACACATTTCTAGAGTAAATTGAACCGATAATAAGCTGTGTTAAGGAAGACGCGATTCTTTGGAGCTGGTTTGAACTTTGAAGGAAGACGCGATTCTTTGGAGCTGGTTTTCAATTTAGGATTAATTTCAAGTTCGAATCAGCTTTTTTTTTTTTTTTTTTTTTTCTTAATTTGGTCCTAAATTCAAAAGAGGGTAACGCGGTTGGAGACTTGGAGGTTGATTTGCTAGAGAATGAGGAGATTTACAAATCAAAGTTGGCACAACAGAAAACCGAGGCTGATTTTGGAGGTTGATTCAGAGAAAGAGGGCATGTTGTTCCTCGAAGACAAGAAACTTGTGTGTTTGTGCTGCTACTAGACATTTTTGTGTTACTAAAATTCCAACAGACATAATTCAAAAGGTCAACGTGCCATGTCAGCAGGGGTGGGACGGAATTTTAAGAGAGGGGCTGGTTCGGTACATTTTGAAGTTCATTGGGGTATTTTATACGTTGAATATAGTTTAGGTAGGTATTTTGAACTTGACCCTAATATTTATTATAAACTAGTATTTTGCCCCGTGCGTTGCCCGGGGGAATACAGAAAAAAATGTAATTAAATAAAATTAATAAACGTCTATGACATGTATAATAGCAAAACAATAGAACAACAAAAATGTAAAATTCCACTGATTGCAATCATAATTTATATATCTACTTTAGCAATAAAATTTAACACATATACGTTTGTAAATTGGGAAAATAAATTTGACTTACTATTTTTGAAACAAATAGAACGAACGCCATGATAATTGATGCAGGAGCAAAGGAAGTCGGTATTGTTGATAATATAATTGCTTGATCGGATAAATTACCTAATAGCCAAAAATAAATTGTGAGGTCGTTAATATTCCTACAAATTTGTACCGTAATAAAGAATGTTAAGAGTGTTAAGAAAACGAAGAACAAATAACATAATTGAATTGTTAACACAGACAAAAACATATAATTTCTTACGTTGAAGATTATTGATTTGATGAAAAAGAGGACAAAACAAATAATAATAATAATCTCTATACAGCTATAGTGTTCTTCAATGTTCTTGGTAACATGTATATATAGGAAAATTTATGGAGTTGAGATGGAGAAAAGTGGGGCAGTTAAGAAAAGAAGTTGAAGATCGCGTTGAGTGGAAAAAAAAAAACAAAGAAAATAAAAAAATCCCAGAGTTAATCTTGATTAGTGGGGAAGGAAAAAAATAAGAAAAACAAATAATAATAATATAAAAAAAAAGAAGAAAAGAAACGTGCAATAAAAATATTTGGGATGGGAAAGAAAGAAGCAAAAAAAAAATATAATTAATTATTAAAAAAAATAACGTGATAGAAAAAAAATTCCCATCATGCGATAAAAGAGGATAATAGAGGAAACGGGCAAATTTTCCCATCGTGCAGAAAAGTATAAAAAATAATTATATATATATATATATATATATATATATAAAAAACGTAGATAGAAGAGGAGAAAAGAAAGAGATTTGTTAAAAAATAAACTGTTTTTTAGGATTTCGGGAAAAACTTTTCTTTTATATATAAAGATTACAGATAAAAAAATTAAATAAAAAATAATATAATCAAAATTAGTAAAGTTCATGTTCAAATCCAATACAATAGAAAATCAAAATGTAAAAATTATACTAAGTGGAATCATAATGTATATCTATTTTAGAAATAAAAGTTAGTACACACCTACGTTTATGTACTGAAAAAAAAACGACTTACTATTTCTTGTGGCATATAATATTAATATTAGACATCGATCCTACAAAAAGAAATGTAATATATATGAAGATAATATTTTGAATAAATTAGGAAGACAAAACAAACATATTTTAAATGCATAAATATTACATAAGACAATGAATGAAATAAAAAGTAAAACTCTTGTCTGTGGCTATGATAGTAAAAAGGGTAATGGAATAGTGATCTGAAAATCATTCATCAAATTTTAAATTGAATTGGATAATATAAAACAACTAAGATATTTAATTGCATATATTTCACTTAAAAAATATGTTTACACTGGAGATATTCAATGTCTTAACTTAAATAATTAACTTCTCTTAGACTATTCATCCAAAAAAAATTTAAGTAAAACACAATACTCATTACATTTCTAAATTCTTGCCTTAAAATAGTAAGTGAAAAATCATAAGCAACAGAAGCATGTGCAATTGAATCGTTCATCTAAAAAATCATAATAACTAAAAATACCAAATTTAAGATTATCAGACTGTCTTAATATAAAATCAATTTCTCTTAAATCGTTCATTCAATAATAGAGAAATTTTGACACAACAATTATTTATATGTTTAAAGTATCCGGTCTAAATATTTTTTTTCGAATAATCGGACATTTTAAACTTGAAGACAACAAAATATTTCTCAGTCATTAATCAATCAAAAGCATCAGAAGAAATTTAAAAGAAAATCATAAAAATCGGCTATTCTTTCAAATTTTATAAAACACTTAAGGTAAGTAATATTTTTATGTGTAATTTTAAATTAAAATAGTAAGAACAAAATTTGATAAGTAAACTGGGAGTTTTGGACAACTAAGATATAGGAAAATTAAATAGTGATTTTGCAAAATTATTATTCAAATTTTAAATAGTTCTGGATAATTAATGCAACATAACTAATATATTCAGTTCCACATACTTCAATTAAAACTAAGTCCATGTCGGACATATTCAATGTCTTAGGTTAGAAAATTAATTTATCTTAAACTGTTCATCGAGAAAAAATTAAAGTTGAGTACAACGCATTTAAATGTTAAATCCTTATCTTAAAATAGTTACCGAAAAGTCAAGCAAAGAAAGTATTTGCAAAAATCAAGTTTACGATCTCAAAAGTATCGACAGGCGTTTTCTTCGCAAATTGCAAGAAAAGACTAAGACAAAAGTTTTATTATTCTGCATGATTAATCCTAAAACTACGTACTTAATTATATTTATACTAATCAAATAGAGACCTAATGACCTAGGAAAACAATGAAAAGATAAATACTAACTAAGACATAAAAGGAACCCTATCAACTAAACAATACATATGGAAAAAGAACTCAAATAAGTTGCAATTCTAATCTAACTATCCTACTCCATAATATTGGGCCGAATCACTGCTCTTAAACTGTAAACTATTAAAATCATAGACAAATGAAAAAGACCTATATGAT